CTGCTCAGCCATTAATTAAAACAACATGCTTTGAAGCCCTGTGGATACGTAGCGCTCCATTCTTGGAGCTCAAGAGGAAGCATTATTATAAATTGCTTTGAAAGGAACCGATTAGGGGTTTTCCATATGATACCCACAAAGGGCATGAGAGATTAGGTTTTGGCCTGAACTCAAGGCAGGCCCAGTTGGTTTGGACAGCCTACAGGTACAGGAACTGAGAAAGGTGCCTGTCTGTGCTCCTTTTCATAAGCCAGATCCTTGGGTCTCCCAAGGTGACTGTGCCCATTCAGGGGTGGTAAGACAGAAGAAAGGGCTAGGGTGGGACAGTGGGGAGCTGGTGCCCACCTGCCAATGCTTGGAGGTATAACGTGCAGTGGTTGAGAGATTTGCCCTCAGAGGCATCCAGGTTTTTGAGTTCTGGCTTGCTCACTTACTAGCTGTGTGACCTCGGGCAAGTGACATAACTTCTCTGAGCTGTGACTTTTTTCATTTGGAAAAATGTGTTTTGTTTACTCCAGTTCTACAAAGTGGAGTAAATCTACTCCTAGGGTTATTATGTAGATTAAATAAAGCATTTATGTAAAGTATATAAGCACCATAGTTTACAACAGATGGTTCATAAACATAGGTTATTATTATTTATAATGAACATCTGTAATGTGAGGTCTGTCCATCAAGTAGCTGCTCCCTGATTTCCTTTTGGGGAATTACCTTTCCTGATTAGGTGTAGTCTTGGTGCCCTCTAGTGTGCTGACTGTCCACCTTAAAAGCTGAAAGGGTCCATGGAGGCTCTGCCCACCAGACTTTCCTTTTACCGTGTAGTACAGCCAAGATGTGAGCATGTCACCTGAGCTCAGCCAATCAGAGTCTCTCTCCTGAGACCTTGAATCAAAGCAAAGGTAGAAAACACAGTGAGGTAGTCCTTGAAGAAGACAGTCTTCACTTCACTTCTGTTGTGCCTCAAACCGTTCCTACTTGGTCTCTGTTCCCTCAAAGGGCCAGAGTCCATTTCTGTTGCCTGCAACCAACGAAATGAGACACCATTGCTTTCTGCCTCTAGGAAATGAGTGTTCCCCTTCACAGGCCGCTCCGCTGCTTGCCTCGTCTTTACTCCAATGCGTGGGGCACCGCCACCACGGCCCTTCCTAGAATGTTCCCCAAACACAGCCTAAATTTTTATAGCTTCATGCCTGTTTTCAAGATGTCCTTTCTGTTTGGATGTCTGTATTCAGCCCTCCTCCACCAACAGGCAATTCTAACTCATTCTTCAAGCCCTGGCTCAAATGGTGCTTGCTCGGGAAAGCTTCTGTGACTGCCCCTGACCCAGCAGTACAAACACATTTCATTTCTTCTGCTTTTTTCATGCTTGCATTGAAGCATTTGCTACATTTGCCATGTTGTCTCACAGTTAGGTGATTTGCTGCCATCTAGACGGTGTGCTCTTTGGGAATGGCCTTGTTCATTTTTGTGTCTCCAGTACCTAATTCAGAGCAAGAGCATGAAGCATTTTTGTTGAATGAATGAAGAAAAGACATTTCTTACAAATACATGACTTGTACAATTTTACATGCAAACACATGCAGGGCATGTCTAGATAATTTCAGAACAGCAGGCCAATTCTATAGACCACCCGGTTCTCCCAGGAGTGGTAAGAAACGCGTCCTTGTCTCAGTTAGCCAAATTGGATTTGTCCAAAAGTTCAAGGTCATTGTTTCAACTTCTTTGAGAGTTACAGAGCAACATAATTACATAACACTAGTAACTAAGTTTTCTATGGCCCTGACCACATCCCAAGCACCACATCAATATTAAGTCATGTAATCCTCATAGTAATCCTATGAAGTAGATTCTGCTATTTTCCTCATTTCAGACATGAGGAAACTTAGGCACGGTGAGGTCGAGTCACCTGCTCACAGTTACATGGATGCCCAGTGGAAGAGCTGTTTCCCGCCTCAGCCGTGCTCTTCCATACAATGCTGCCTCCTCTGAATCCCAGAGGAATGAGCAGACTCAGCAGTCAACCTAGTTTCACAGCTTGGGAGTTGGACGCAGGACAGGGGTGGCTGCATGTGGAGATCTGCTCATCTTGTAAGGAGCATTGACAGTGAGTGCCGGTTTGGCTAAGCAATAGCGGGGTTGTAATGGAGACAGAGCAAGATCCTTCCGTGACATTTGATCATTCCGAGCCCCAAAAATAACCCTCATGCCAGTAAGGGGTCACATCATTTGCCTTGGCTAAACTCACCCAGCTGGATTTGGCTGGCAGTAGAGGGTAGTTCAATGCTTAAGCTTTTAAGTCAGAGTACTGACTGTAAGGCCTGGCTCAGCTGTACTGTGTGTGATCGTGGGCTCATTATTTAACTGCTGAGTGACTCAGTTTCTTAACACCTGTAAAATGGGGCATAATAAGTCTCCATGTTGTAGAATACTTATGAAAATTAAATGAGATAATTACATGGAAATCACTTGGTATGTCTGGCACCTATTAAGTGGTAGTATTATACAAATATTAGTACAAAAAATTTTGCTGATTATGGGATATTTAATGACCAGTAGCATGTTGGATCTTTCAGGGAGCAATGAGAAGCAAAAGAGTAGGGCTGAAAAGTGAATGTCCACCCTCTTTGCCAAGCAAAGTACAGTCCTTAAGAATTTACTACACTGCCTGAAATTCCAGGTCTGGCCACCTAAGTTCTCCAAAGGATTCCACTGGACATGAGCACAAGACAGGGTTCGTAGTTTTCACACCCAGTAATCCAGGGCTGACAGCTCAATAGGATTATTTAGTGCAGCAAACCCAGCATCCTGTTTACTGGTCTTTTCCCTCTTCTGATTTCCAATTGAGAAAAAAAAAAAAAAAACCTTCAATGATAAATTTGGCCAAAAGGCTTATTTTATTACTGGTGCCTGTTGCGAAAGAGCTGATATTTCTCACAAATTCTGAGCTGTGAGTTGTGACAGCCAGTGCTTGGGTGAAGTTAACACCTGCCTCATCCTTAAGAAGAAGAAGCGAGGATGTGATTTGCCTCCCCAAATCCCAGGGGTCAGAGCACAACACATGTGCTCTGACCCCTGGGATTTTGGGAGGGGGATTCCCAATCCGCCAGTTCATTTAAGCTTCCAACTTCACGGATTCCAGATTCAGATACAGAGAGCCTTCAAATGTGTTCTATAGAAACCAAACTTCATTGTAAAGCTCTCTATTAGCTGCAAAAAAAACAAATACGTACAAATAAAGTATGTTTTAAAGTAAGAAATATATTCTCTTAATGCATCTATCTGTCTCAGCTTTTAATAACCCCAGTTTACATGGTTTGCAACTGAGACCCATTTCCTGAGAGGTCTTTGGGTTGAAGATTGGGGTAGAAGTGAGTATAGGCATAGAGGGTATTATTGTACTCCGGGAGCCTCCGACACACTTAGAAACACATGAATAAGCCCTCTCCATGGAGGATTCAATAGGATGAAAATAATCCTCATGTTACCCTCTCTCTATCCCTCATACCTGGGACGTGAGAATTATGCACTAAATAACGATCTCAAAAAGCAAATGGCACAGAATGTGGGAACCTCTTGGGATGGTGTGTAGGTGTTGTCACTCCACAGTTGGCATCAGGGTGAACTTCCACCACTGGGATATGGAACAATTTGTAATGTAGCAATCAATGGAAATATGACGAAGTATTCACTTAGCAGGAAACTGGTAACTGCAGGCATCACCAAACAGAACGGTATCATGGCATGTCCAACATCCCAAGGGATTCTGAAGACATTCAGATGACGACCGAGCACTAGGCATCTTAAGAAGCCCCTATGTGCCCCTTTGTGACTTGAGGTTGAAGTTAAAAATGATACCTTCTCCTCCACCTGTTTTTGAGCTACATGGAAGGGAGGAGTGGTATAAAAATGCAGCCTCGGAAATGTAAACACCCACCATGCTTGCCCGCTTCACCTCGGGTGAACAGCATTCGGCAGATTCTAATTAGGAAAATGTTCCACTGGGCTTTCTCCTCAGGGTGCGAGGGAGACCTGGGCTGTTGCCGAGCTGCATTTTGCATCGCCTGGATGATTGTAAAACTCCCTACTCGCCACCCCCGACCAACCAAGAAAACCCATCGGCTTAAGTACCAACCCCCCACCTCAGTTCTCATATACTTTCATCTTGTTCCCAGGATCCGCTAAAGTAAATAAGATGTCCACCCAGATAATGGAAACCCACCGGCTCTCAGTTAGTGCCTTTTCATGCCAATTAAACACATTTCACACAGTCATCGTAGATGCATCAATGACTGCATTCCAAGACGCCAATAGGGCCGCGGCAGACTTCAGCCTAGTAAATGAAATGTATTTCATGCGAGTTTTCTCTCTGTCTTATTCTAACCACTTGGCAACGGTCTCAATTGAAAACATTGATTCTGAAAGATATATATGAGTATATAAACTGATTAACCAGCTTATTTGCTGCTGATTACTTTACTAATAAAGATCTCAGAGTGCTTAATTTAAATTAATACTTCTTTAATGAAAATCCAGCTTAGAGCATAAAAACAATCTTGACAGATGCATTTATTGCGCAAATATACATCTATCTACGCCAAGCCAATTGAACATACAATCATATTTGGTTGGAGTTATAATTGATAATGATTCTACAGTTATGACTTGGGTTAGGTGTGTGTTGCTCCCCAGAGTTACTCTGATGGCCTCAAAAGGTCTTTTCATTTTGGAGGCTGTGAGGAGCCAGTGGGGAGCACATGCATGTATGTGAAGCAACCTCAGAATATTTGGTCACTTTCGAGATGAGGAGTAAGATATCCTTGCTTCCCCTCCCCCTCCCCTCCATCCTCCTCTGCCTTAAAAAGCAAAAAGGAGGGTGGCTGACTTTCCAGTGTAGTAAAAATTGGAAAGAGGACAAAAGGTGTCAAATGTTAAGACCTAGGGATTAAACAAAATTGGGTTATTGATTAACCAGTGTGTTGGTAATCTGATGTTTGTGGCAG